CTTTGTCGATTAGCGTCGACGCTAATATCAGAAATTTGTTTTTTAGTTTTCTTCTTATCAGAATATTAAGATTTGTTTTATTATAAATCTTTTTTCTACTCTACTTAATTCTATTTCTATTCTACTCTAAAGTCAAGGTGGTCACAAGTTTCAGTTTATATCAATTTCACTGACAATTTACTGAGATTAAAATTATTTTCCCTGACAAAATTTTTTTACAGGAAAATATCAGTAACATTTATGAAATTTAATAATTTCTAAAAATTACAACTATAACCCTTCCTGAATTCAATTATTTTCTATAATTTTCAACTAAATTTCATCTCTAAATCAATTATTTGAAATTATTTTCCAAAAGTTCTTTGAGAATTAAATTATTTAAATACAATAATTCAATTTTTTATAATAATAATTATTATGTCTACTAACCGGGAATTTCGGGAAAACCGGGAAATAACCGGGAATTTAATTTGACCGGGAATTAGCCGGGAATTTCATACCAAACCGGGAATTTTTTCACCAAAATTAAAAAAGTGTTATTATTTTAATTTGTTTTTAAAAAATCACATTTTATTTCAATTTTTATAGATATTTATTCTGTTCTCTAAATTTAAATTAGTTAAAAATAATTAATTTGATAATAAAAAATTAGTCACCAATTCAAACATTTATTATGTAAATAAATTAAAAAAAATTATGGAGTTAATAGAAATATTGTGAAATTCGACTGAAAATATGTAATTAAATTTCTTAAAGAATTTCATTAGAAACTTTTCAACAAATTGAATTTTCAAAGTATTTTAATTCAATAATTGAATTTTATAAAGAGTCATATTCTAATGTATTCATGTTTCTAAGGGCGAAGATTAATAATTAAAATTTTTATTAGTTAATTTAAAAAAATAAACAAACTTAAAATTGTTTAATAAAATTGAACCTTCGCAAATTTTTTTTTTTTTTAAATCTGAAAAATAAGATTGTTGTAATTTTTCAATTCTATTGTTTCAGGATAATTGAATTTTTCTAAACAAATAATTGAAAATTTTTGAAATAATTGAAATTTCTTTACATTTTTTGAAAAATAATTTAATTTTTTTAAAGAATTTCATTTAAATTTTTCGAAAATAATCAAGGTAAGTTAGTGAACGTAATTATAATTTTATTTTAAAAATTTAAAGTCCCTCTAACAGTTTTAAATTAAATTAAAAATTATATTATTCTATTATTCTTCAATAATTATAATTATTGAACTTCTCTTAAATTTTTATAATTTCAAATTTCTGAATGTTCAAATAAATGATATTTATTTATTTCTTGAGCAAATTAAATGTTTATTACTTATTAAGTAAATAATTAATTATTGCTGCTTATTATTTTCAAAAATTTTAATAAAATTCTTCACAAGAATTAAATTATTTTCATAAATAATAGCATTCTTTGGAAGGATTCAATTATTTTTAAAAATAGTAAAATTCTTTGCAGAAATTCAATTATTATCAATATAATTTTAATAAAATTGAAAAATCAAATTTTCAATTATAATTATAAAGAGAGAAGATTATTTTTAAAAAATTGAAAAAATTCTTTGTTTAATTCAATTATTTTCCAAATTTTCAATTAAAATTATTGAAAAAAACATTATTTTCAAAAAATTTAAAGATTTATTTATGTTCGAAATCAAATTTAAATTTAAATTTGATGAGAAAAAAAACCGTGAAAAAATTAGGATATAGCCGGGAAAAACCGGGAAATAAAATATATATATATTTTTTTGAGTCTACAAAATTTATTTAAAAAAAAATAAAAAATGAGTAGGACCGTTTGAAAACTTGACTTCTTAGCTACAATTTTGCCACGTATTATTTTGCTGTAACTCGATTCTGTTCCGAACTACAGCGATTTTACGAAAAAAAAAATTTTTTTTATCCCACATGCACAAAAATGGCGCTTTTAGATAGCTGACGACAGAGAGTAAAGTCACTCATTTGTTCGACAATATGAAAATGGCGTCCATTTTCTCCCAAGAGGCAAACATAACAGCTGATCCCATGCGTTATTTTTGCCCATGGGAGAAAACGGCCGCCATTTTCATATAAGTCGAACAAGTGAATGACTTTTACTCCCTGTGACCTGCTATCTGAAATCAACACTTTTGTGCATTAGGAATAAAAAATATCGTAAGAAACACGGGAATAAAGGCAGCCAATTTGTTTACGATGATTTTTGTGACACTCGTTCCGGTCTCGGGGCGCCCTCGACCTCCACTCGTGTCACAAAAATCACCGTAAACAAATAGCTGCCTTTATACCCTTGTTGCTTAATATACTATTTAATGTCGAAAAAACGAGGGGCGTAACTATTCTTGCAGCTATTAATGATATAATTCTAAAAAAAATATAAAAATTAATTTGTTAATTGGAGGATTTTTTCTGGTTTTTCTCTTCCAATTTCTTACCATTCTAACTTAGAAACAAGCACATAAAAAATACACTGTTTCGTAGTTTTCGCTGTCATCAGTGGAAGAATAGTTTCGCCCCATCCGCACATTTTTTGAAAAAACACTTGTAAAATTTTTGAACAATAGAATATCAAAAATCCATTATGATATTCGTGTTCAGCACTAAATTTGACTTTAGAAATAATTTTTCCGATAATTTTTCCGACCGTTTATCACTATTTACAATGGCAGACGATTTATCTTTATTATAAACACTTTTTCTGCTGTAGCACATTTTTGACTTAAAGTTCGTTAATTCAAAAAAAATTTTTTACATATCGAATTACGTTCAGAAATGACGACTTCTTGCTGACAAAGTATTGATGACTTAGATCCTTTTTAGATTCTCTGAAAACAAAATTTATATTCTTTATTTCACCGAAACATATACTCTCTAAATTTGAATTAGTAAAAATGTTTACTAATTTGAATTAGTGACTGACTTTTTGCTTTTGAATTAGTAAATTTTACTAATAAATAGTAATTTCTACTAATTTATTAGTAAAATTTACTAATTCAAAAGCAAAAAGTCAGTTACTAATTCAAATTAGTAAACATTTTTACTAATTCAAATTTAGAGAGTAAGCTCTCTAATGACTGACGCCACGCTATGTCTCCTAGTGATATCAAAAACTTGTCGAAAGATAGCAATCCGTAATTTTTTTTCCTTACAAAATACTTGAACCCGTTAAATAGATAAAGTTTTCAAGCATTATACAGTAAATATTTTAAAATTCTAATTAGTATTTTTAAATCTATGCATTTTTCAAATGATTGAATAGGTCTTCTAAGAAAGTAATTAATCGGAAAAGAAATTCCGAATCATGTCAAAAGTAGTTTTCTGCTTTTATATATCAATTCTCTCATTTTTTAATGAAACCAATTTCAATAAAGAATTTATTAAGAGTATTTTAAGGAAAAGAGATAATATAAATCGTCGGAAAACTTTTATTCAGAAATAAAATTTGCTATCGACAAATGAATGTTGTTGAATAATTAAAATTATTTTCTCTTGTCGATAGTCAGTATTTTATGGATATAGTAGCAGAGGTTATTAAAATAATAACTAATAAGACAATGTAAAAAGTACATTGATTTTTTTTTGTGAAAAAGAAATGAAAATTGTTTATGTATGCAAGGTATTAATTCCCGAGCGTTAAAGATCTTTTGAAAATGATATCTCTTGGGGCATGGCGAATGCGTCATTCTAACCAAGTTGAAGTCCACAACGTTAATCAACGAAAAAAAATTGTTCACTTAGTAAATTAATTAAAAATGACGCATAAATATTGACACAAAAATATTTAGAAAAAAAATTGGTGTTTATATTTTGATAATAATTATTTTACAATTAAAAATTAAATTAAAAATAATACTTGAATGCATTAAATACATTTTTTTCGTTGATAAACGTTGTGGACTTCAACTTCGTCATTCTATACCTAACTCAACATTGAGGTGGAGGAGATACTTATTCAATTTGTATTCTTGAAATGATCACGTGAATGTAACGGGACACGTTGTGTGTATACTAAAGATTCAACATGAAAGTGCTCTTGTTGTATATGCCATATATACACCTTGACATGTCAATGTTCTCTGTAAATCAGTAATATAAACGTTAAATAGAACAACTTCCGGCTCTTATTTTCCCCTTATACGCTAGGCGAGAGAGAGGACAATCAACTCTCTCGGTGTGTTTGTTATCAGTAAAAAAAAATGCGGAAAATTATTTTGCAATTTTTTTTATTAGCGAAAATAGATTTTAATTTTTTAATATTTTTTTTATGTAATTTGAATTGGATTTTTAAATTTTTTTTAACTTGAAACTAGTATTTTAATATTTTTTTTATTGTAAATTAAATCGAGTTAAATGAAACAAATGTAGAATTTGAAAAAAAGTTGCGATGTTTTGCAATTTTGGTTTGAGACATGATTGACAGCGTTAGTATTTCAAGTAAAATTGATTGTAATTGTTTATCAGATGATCAATTTGATTTATCGGTGGAACGACTGTTGCTCAATCACAACTTTGTCTTGTCCGCTGCGAGTGAGAATTTCCTGTTATTATATTTATCAAATTTGTTTGCTCACTTTTTTTCCTACGGCGAGACAAGCGAAAATTTTACTTTCCCATTCCTTGGTTTTCTATCCGATTGGTATTTTTTACCCAGAAAAGAATTCTAATTTTCTGAAAATTTCTTCGTCGAGAACTATTTTCTTTTTTTCGACTTTCCGTAGTCATAGTGTCACTTATTTTTTGCTTCCATTCACCTAGGATTCTAAAAATCTCCTTAAAAACATTAAGGGATTTTTAAAGTAGATGCGATGTTTGGTTGTCCCAATTAAGGTCCCTTAAGTTTAATTGTTTCGGGAAAAAAGAAAATTTAGCGTCGCGTCGGCGCTAACTTCAGAGAACTATGTCCCTTTTTCTCTATTTCGAAAATGAAATTCCCCCTTTATAAATATCAAAAATCGGACTAATTAGATCGATTTCTTTTAGATCCAATCGAAACGGGAGTTGTTCTTTAAGGGCGAGACAACACCGCCGTCGGTGCCGTCAGTTCCACCACCACAGCCACCATCGGCGCCAACGTTGACACCAACGTCAACATTGAACTCGTCGACGGCACCACCTCCGGGAACACAGACAAAATCTCGATTACCACCGACGACGGTGAATTTGAATCAAACCGATGGCTCGGAGGACAGTAATAAGAGGGAGAACTCGAGGACTGAGAGCAACAAGGAATCAAACTTGAATCTTCATCCACGTCCCACGCCGCCCACGAAACCCAAGGAACTCGATGGCTACGTCGGTTTTGCAAATCTTCCAAATCAAGTGTACAGAAAGGCCGTGAAGAAGGGCTTCGATTTTACGCTTATGGTTGTTGGTATGTATTCAAATTTTTTTCTTTTTTTGCAGATAATTTTTTATTTTAAAGAATTTATTATTCACAAAAAAAGTTTGAAAAAAGAAAATATTAAATTTGTCCCAAGAAAGTATGAAGATTAAAATATTATACTTGTCCCTAGAAAGTATAAGAAAGAAAATATTAAATTTGTCCCCAGAAAGTATAGAAAAAGAAAATATTAAATTTTGCCCAAGAACGTACAAAGAAGAAAATGTTAAATTTATCATTTAGAGATTATTTTTAGTGAGAAAAAAATTAATATAAAGAACCAAAATGCCAATTAAAACGTTTTTGTACTTTAAAGTATTTTAAATTAGCGCGCCTTCTATCTGCCAATGAGAAAGAGAGTTAATGTAATAGTTAATGACGCGGTTGAATGAGGGAGCCCCTGCGCCTCAACGTCTAGTAACATGGACGTTGCGAGTGCGCGCGACGCCTCTCGGAAATAGCCAACTGACGTCGGAGCATAACGAAAGTTCCCGAAGTTTCAGTAACCACGCCCCCAAATCGACATTTTCTTGCCGTTCTCATTGCCAAATGGTCTCAAAATTTTCAAGTGCTAGTGTTTTATATTATCAATCTCCCACATTTAATTCTAATTTTCAAGCATCGAAAATAAAACTTTTTCTCTTATTCCAAATTTTTTCTCACCCTGAGTATTTTTTCGATTTTATACGAAGTCTTTCCTGTCCGATCCACTGGAAAATGACTCGCAATTTCCTTGTAAGTAGATAATTTTCTATAAATTTTCTGGGTGTACTTTACTTTATTAATTTTCTGTACTGCCCTCTTCTTTTTATAGTTCTTTTAATTTCTTCTTTTTATATTCCCCTGGGAATGAAAAAAGAATTTTGTAGTCCTTTGACTCGCCACGTGGTTTTCTAATTTTTGTAGATAAAAATATTTTTGAAAAATGATAAATGTATTAGAAATCGAGGGATGGTAAAAAAATTCTAATTTTATTGGTAGAAATTAAGAATTTATTGTTAGTTTGGTGACGTGGTCAACAGAGGGAGCTGCTACGTTCCGGCGTTTTGTAACATGGACTTTCTGAACATTTGGCGCTTGTCGGAAATCTTTGTGAGGTTCCGAAGGTTCACTCGCCACGCCCTCAAATCGACATATATTTTTTGAAAACAGGAAAAATTTAATTCAGTATATTTTTTAAGAAAAGGAAAATTAAAATTAAATGTATTTTTTGAAAAAGAAAAAATGAAATCCAGTACATTTGTTTGAGAAAAGGAAAAATAAAATAAATATATTTTATTAAAAGGTAGTAAAAATATATAATAACTTTTTATTTATATATTATTATTATTTACGTTTACTAATATTAGAGTAGAACGAGGTGAAAAAGCCACATTTTTACATTTGACGTTATAAAATCTGAATTTAAAATTTTTTTTCTCAAATTTCCAATTGGCATTTAAAGTTTAGTTATTAAGTTATTAGTTAAAAAGCTACCTCGCGATTTTAGCAAAATATGTTATTAATTTTGGTATTTTTATAGTTTTCCTTTATTTATTTGACAAATAATCTTACTTTTAAAATATTTTAATAAATTTTAAAGAGCTTTTAGCAAGGAAAATTGAATATTATGTTGAGTTTACCTTTTTTCGATATACACTACCAAGTTTTTGTACCTTTTTTTGAAAGTCTTCCTTAAATTTCACCACAAATGCCATATTTTGTTGCAACCGTTTTTTCGTTGTTTATTTTTTTAGTGCACTTTGAACTATTTTTTCGTCGTGTTTAATTAATTTTATTAAGTAAACACACGAAAATTTTGTAAAATTAGAAGGTTAGTTTAAGTAGAAAACAAATGAATTTCACATAATATTCAATGGATTTTTGTCCCTGGCTTTTTCACCCCCAAGACTAGTTTTTCTAAAAGCTATATAATAAATTTTAAATTTAGTTCAATTTCCAAAAATTAACATTGTATACGTTTAGAGTATAGTTTTCTCCTTATGTACAAACATTCATAATATAATAATGACGCGTCGTATGAGAGAGCCTCGAGCATTCAGAAGTCTTGTAACATGGACTTTAGAGGAATATTCGTGGCCAGCCGGAAATAGACGAAATGTCTCGAAGGACCAATCACGAACTTTCTGAGGCAGAAATTTTTTAGTTATTTTTTTATTTCACTACATTTTTTTTCTAATAGGTATTTTTAATTTTATATCCTTTAATTAAATATCTTAAATAAAATAATTTATTTAACTACTTTTTTGTAATTATATAAAGGTGCGTGCACAATATGAAAAAATTATAAAACATTAAATTTAATTAATTAATTATTAATTACCTAATTGATTAATTAATTAATTACATTTAAATTTAAAAAATATACTAAAGCTTATAATAATTAGCAGTTAAAGTATTTAGTTAAAAAAATAATAAGTAAACTACAACAAATATAATAAAATAAATTACAAAAAAGCCGTTAATAACTATTGATATAATTTTATAAAGGTGCGTACACAATATGAACAATTTTACCAATAATATGATTAGCAGCTGAAGTATTTCGTAATAAAAATAATAAATAAAGTAAAACAATAAAGTATATTATAAAATAGTTGCTAATTATTTACATTATTGTATAAAGGTGCGTACACATTATGAAATATATTATAATTAGCATCAAAAGTTTTTAGTAATTTAGTAATAAAAATAGTAAGTAATAAAATTGAATTGGTAAATAGACGTTGCTAATTATTTATACAATTATATAAAGGATCGTACACAATGTGAAAAAATTTAATAATAAAGATTATAAATAGCAGCAAAAGTATTTAGTAATAAGAATAATAATTACTAAAGTAATAATTAAGTAGCCTTTTAATAACACAGGCACACAAAAAAAAAAAAGTTGTCTGTTCATTGAACCAGACCTACATGTCTTATAGTATTTTGGCCCCCTGAATACGAATATGAAGTCAGAATTGCTCCATCACCCTCTGTTTTTTTTTAAATCGAAAAAACTACCCTTAAGTCTAAAATTCAAGAACTAAATTTAAAAAAATGAAATAACCGCGGTTTTCTTCTGAGTAGAAGAATATATTTATGCGTATTCTTCTTTCAACAACTTAGAAACAATGTCAAAATTGCTACATCACCCCCTGTTTTTTTTTTAAATCGAAGAAACTACCCTTAAATTTAAAATTCAAGAACTAAATTTAAAAAAAATGAAATAACATTATTTCTGAGTTGTTGAAAGAAGAAAACGCATAAATATATTCTTCTACTCAGAAGTTAACCGCGGTTATTTAATTTTTTTAAATTTAGTTCTTGAATTTTTGATTTAAGGGTAGTTTCTTCGATTTAAAAAAAACAGGGGGTGATGGAGCAATTTTGAAATTATTTCTGAGTTGTTGAAAGAAGAAAACGCATAAATATATTCTTCTACTCAGAAGTTAACCGCGGTTATTTTATTTTTTTTTAATTTAGTTCTTGAATTTTTGATTTAAGGGTAGTTTCTTCGATTTAAAAAAAACAGGGGGTGATGGAGCAATTTTGACATTATTTCTGAGTTGTTGAAAGAAGAAAACGCATAAATATATTTTTCTACTCCGAAGGAAACCGCGGTTATTTCATTTTTTTTAATTTAGTTCTTGAATTTTTGATTTAAGGGTAGTTTCTTCGATTTAAAAAAAACAGGGGGTGATGGAGCAATTTTGAAATTATTTCTGAGTTGTTGAAAGAAGAAAACGCATAAATATATTTTTCTACTCCGAAGGAAACCGCGGTTATTTAATTTTTTTAAATTTAGTTCTTGAATTTTAGACTTAAGGGTAGTTATCTCGATTTAAAATAAAACAGAGGGTGATGGAGCAATTCTGACTTCATATTCGTATTCAGGGGGCCAAAATACTTTAAGACATGTAGGTCTGGTTCAATGAACAGACAACTTTTTTTTTTTTGTGTGCCTGTGTAATTATTGGTATAATTATATAAAGGTGCGTACACAATGTGAAAATTTTAACCCTTAAAGTTTACGAGGGGGTATATACTCCCGTATTGGAGTGTACACTCTTCTTGTAATAGTCGTGTAATATCGCGTAATAGGGCGTAATAGTACGTTATTACGTGGGTGTAATACCTAGAAATATCTCTGTATTGCCCTGTAATACTTGGTAATAAGTGTAATTTTAGCGTAATAAGTGTATTGGAGTGTACACGTTTTCAACCAGTAAATACCCCCTCGAAGTTTATAAACAGCAATAAAAGTATTTAGAAATAAAAATAATAATAAATAAATAGAATAAATAATAAAATTAATTAGAGAACAATAAATAAGTTTAAATTATTAATAAAATAATAATTGTAGTTAAAAGTTATAATAGAAATTAGAAATAATTATTAAATCGAGAAGAATATTTTCTTGGAATTTCTTTTTTTCTTTGTATTTGTTTCTTGGTCTTTTATTTTGAGATGAGAGTTAAAGCAAAGAGAGTTTTGGAAGTAAATAAAACGAGAGAAGAAAGGACAAGTAGGTACAACTCTGTTGTTTCTCAAGCGTGATTGAGAGCCTCTAAAACGAGACTTCAATGCAGCTGAGCGTTGAGAGAGTTGCACGTGTTCGGCAGATGATGCTTTTACAAGCCAATATCCTTGTTGAAATTGAAATAGCAAAACGAAAAGGAAGAGGCATACACTTTAAAAGTACACACCAGGCTCGATCGAAACAAGCGAGTAATTATGTCATTATCAAAGTCAAGTACACTTTCATTACTTTGAAGAAATATTTCCTAAACTCTTTTTTTCGAATTAATTTTGCTTTCAATATTTCCTTGTTTTTCTTTTTTTTAATTTTGTATTTTATATTTTATTTTATTACGTTTTCCATTATTTATTTTATTATTTATTGTATATTTTTTACTTTTGTTTTTATTTTTAATTTATTTTTTTTAATTTTATATTTAATTTTATTATTTTTTCTATTATTTATTTTATTATTTATTGCGTTTTTTACTTTAGTTAATATTTTTAATTTCGATTTCAATTACTTTTTGTTTTTATTTATCTACTTTTTCAATTAATTGTTTTATTATTTATTGTTTTTTTTACTTTTGTTTTTATTTTTAATTTAATTATTTTTTAAATTTTTATTTTATTTTCATTTTTTTCTGTTTTCGTGTTTGTATTTTTAATTTAAATTTCGATTACAAAAAATGTTCATTTTTGTAAAATCTATATCTTTTGAATAAACATTTTTTGAAATTTTGCGTTTTTTGCGAGTTAAACGCAAAAAACCACATTTTATGGTGTTTTTTTTTATGGTTTCTACCATGAAGATGACCTAGTCGCCAATTTTCACTATGATTTTCGTAATCAGGGCACAAAATTACGTAAGTATACCAAGTTTCAAAAAAATCGGAGCTATGTTGCTTTCGGAAGTGCACCCGTTTACTTTTTTCTATTAATTGTTTTATTATTTATTGTGCCTATTTTATTTACTTTTGTTTTTATTTTTTTAATTTTATATTTTATTCATATTTTTTCTATTGTTCATTGTATTCTTTCTGCTTTTGTTTGTATTTTTAATTTCAATTTTTTTTTATTTATTTAACAAATTTCACTGACAAAAAATTTTCTATCTATTTCCTACGTTTGTTTTACTTTTAATTTCAGTTCTAAATTATTTGCCGTATAAATAAATAAGTGAATATATAAGTTTATTTTTAATTTAATTTATTTTGTATTTTATATTGTTTAGGTTTTCAGTTCGTTTTTTTATTTATTGTTTTCTATTTTATTTGTTTACTTTATTTACATTGTTTTCTATTTCATTAATTTTTTATTTTATTTATTTTCTTCCTTATCTGTTATTTTTCAATTTTTTTTTATTTCTTTTATATTTTTATTTAATTATTTATTTGCTTATTTTTTTATTCATTTATTCTTTTAACCGTATTTTTTTAATACAAATTATTTTTTCAAATATTCCAAAAGTATTTTTATTCTACTTTTTTTAATCAATAATTTATTTATTTATGTTTATGCAATTTCATCATTTTTTTTCAAAAATTACCTTTTTTGTTCTCTTAAAAAATAAACAATATCGCAATAAAAATATTTTTAAAATAAAAATTCAGAAAAACTTCTTTTTTTAAATATTTTTCTTTCTCTTTTTTTTAGTAGTAGAAAAATCAAAATTTTTCTTGGTGGAATTTTTTTGCGGGAATAAATCTTGAGGGCGATGATTGATGAATGAAAAATTAACGGGGAAATAGTGAAAGGAACGTGATTTTCATTAAGTTTAAATTCAGAGACGATTTGTGAGGCTGAACAGGGGCAAAGGGTTGTTATTAATAGAGAACGCGCTCCCCATCAACTATTTCTTTACTAAAAATAGTAATTTGAGTGCTTGACCTTGTCGATGTTAACCCACTAGTAAAAAAAGAAAACTGTTTCCAAAAAATTTAATTTGAAAAAAAGTTTAGAAATTTTTATTTTATAAATTCCTTTTTAGTAAATTTTGTCCTCCCAAAAAAACTATTTTTTAATTAACTTATTATTTATTTTTTTTAATTTCAGAACAATAGTCATATATTGAGTTGGAATTTTTTTTTAACTTATTAAAATAAAGACAAAAAATTTTTTTTTTTAAATTTGTTGTATTGATTTCTAGAATTAAAAAAAATTATGTTAATTTTTTTTTTATGTCAACGTATTTTTAATATTTTTCTCCAATATTTCAGGTGAATCCGGCCTGGGAAAGTCGACACTTATAAATTCCATGTTCCTGTCGGATATTTACAGTTCAGAATATCCGGGACCAAGTCTCAGGGTGAAAAAGACAGTGGCCGTTGAAACGAGTAAAGTTCTTCTGAAGGAGAATGGCGTCAATTTGACATTGACCGTCGTCGATACACCTGGTTTTGGCGATGCCGTCGACAACAGTAATTGGTGATTAAAATTCTTTAATTAATTTAATTAGAGAATTACAAATTTCTCTTTTGTTATTTACATTATATTATGGGCTTTTAAACTTATTTTTTTATTTTTCGATAATCGATAAATAATTTATCGCCTCCTTATTCAGTTAAAAAAAGGCAATTATATTTTTTTTAACAAAGAGTTTTTTATTATTTTCTTATTTGTATTTTTTTATTTGTTTATTTCTTTCTATTCGCATTTTACCATTTTTTCACTGTTCTTTTTTTGTTCTTTTCTTTTTTTATTATTTTTCTATTTTTGTTTTTTATTGTTTGCATTTATTTTTTTTTTGTCTTTTTCTATTTTTTATTATTTTTCCATTTTTTTCCTATTTCTATCTTTTGTATTGTTTTATTGTTTACATTTATTTTTTTTGTCTTTTTCTATTTTTTTCTATTCGTATTTTTTTATTTTTCAATTTTTCTATTTTGTATTTTTATTATTCTTTTTTATTTCGTATTTTTCTATTTTTGTTTATTTTACTGTATTTTCATCTTTTTTAGTTTATTATTGTTTGCATTTATTTTTTTTATTGTCTTTTTCTATTTTTTAACGTAATTTTTTTTATTGTATTTTTGTACTATTTTTGGTTGTACCGATGGTATAGCTCGGTTGGTGGAATCCCGTTGCTTGTGATCACGGAGGTTAAGCCACTTTGAGTAAAAACATTTCATCACTAAACGTTTCAATTTTTTTTAGTTTTCATTTTTTCCTTTTCTATTCTTTTTGTTTACATTGTTCTATTTTTTGAAATTTTTTTCTATTTTTTAGTATTCTTCCTTTTTTACTTTTTTCTATTATTTTAATGTTTTTCTATTTTTCATTTTTATTGTTTGTTTTTTTTATATTTTTTTTATTTTTTCCTATTCGTATACTTCTCATATTATTATCTTTTTGTATTTTATTAGTTTTTTACTTGTATTTTTATATTTTTTACGATCCTCAATTTCTGTTCTTTCAAATGAAATGGAATTTATTTCATTTCTTCTTCAAGTAAAAATGTTATTGCAATAATTTGCAGGATTTTATCAAATTTTTTTCAAAATAATTTAATTCTTTCGAGAAATTTTATTAAAGTTGCATTGAAAATAATGAAACCGTCGCAAAGAATTTTTATTATTTATAAAAATAATCGAATATTCTTATCCAAAGAATTTTATTCAAATGCTTAAAAAAAATTTAATTCTTGACAAGAATTTTATTAAAATTTTTGAAAATAATTGAATTGTTTTGAAGAATTTATTTCAATTTTCTTGAAAATAATAGATTTTTTAAAAATAATTTTTACTGAAAATTTTCAAAGTAGGGGAGAGTGGGGCAAGACGGGGTACTTAAGGTTTAAAGCGCAAAAAAACGAAAATTATCGAATATATACTTTATTATTATTTTTAATTATCATCTTTGGGAATCAGTCTTTCGTAAAAAAGGCGTACAAAGGCCATCTGTTTCTTAAAAAAGCTTATAATTAATAATATTGAAAAAATTGCAAATCTCCCCATCTTGCCCCACCAGGAGGCAAGATGGGGTACTAACAAAAAACAACCTATTTCTGTCGACAAATTTCACAAGTAAAGGTTGCATCTTCATCTTCATGCATAACTGCAGTGAGCCCATTGGCCGCAGACAAAAAAAGCAGCCCAGCCTTCATTTGAGTCTAAATAATAACCATTACAATAGAGACAAGGTGTATTTTCCACTTTACCATCGCTAATTGATGATTTAACCTGACAAGCTTTTTTCTTTTTGGTCACTCTTATTTTATTCAGTCTTGATTTTAGTAGTTTTCTTAACTTCTCTTATTTCTCTTTTTTTTGCTTAATTTGTGAACCCTGTCTTGCCCCACTCTCCCCTACCCCATCTTGCCCGCACCTACGAAATTGAATAAAACGATTAATTACTACAATTTACGATTCAACAAAGAAAAAAAAACTTATGCTTCCCTTCTTCTGTAACCCTTGACAAGCGATATAAATCGTGAACAGTAAAACAACTGACTGAATTAATGTTGAAATTGACCAGAAGGGGTCGTATTAAAAAGAGAAACAGAACGACATCTGATGTTTAAAGAATAATTAAAATAGCGCGAATTATAAAAGTGAATTTATAATATTTGAACTCGAACAATATTTATAGAAATAATTGAATTCTTCCAAAGAATGTTGTTACTTATGAGAATAATTGAATTCTTGCGAAAAATTTTATTGAAATTTTTGAAAATAATAAACAACATTTGCCAGTATTTTTAAAAAAGAATAGATTTCGTTTACTTCAACGTTTTTATTCTTTACTACTCGTATTTTTCTACCTTTCTAATTTTCGATTTTTTTTAGTTTTTATTGTTTGCTTCTTTTTTTATTTCTTTATTTGTCTTTTTTTATTTTTAAAGGTTTTTTTGTTTGTATTTTTCTATTTTGTTTTATTTTTTTATTATAATTTTTCTATTTTTTCTTTATCATTGTTTTTGCTTCCTCATAAAGGAAGCTTTGTATTAGCAAAATTTTGGATTGTCATTTTTTGACATATTTATAAATTTTTTTTTATTATGCCTAATACTTTAGTACTTTATATATGCACAGGAACTCCCCGTATAAATGTTCTAAATAAATAAAAAAAAAATGTCGACGTATTTTGACCTCCGAAGTCCAAAAAACGGATTTTAAAAATTTGTCCTGATGTGTGTGTGTGTGTGTGTGTACTAACATTACATTTGCCTCAATATCTCAGAACGAGAAAGAGCTAAAGGCCTCAATTTTTTTTTAAATTGTAGGTCTCCCCGGGGGACATAAAATGAGAGTATTTTCAGACCGATTCATAAAGTTTAACTATTTTTTTTTGCATTTTTCATTTAGTAAAAAAACGTTTTTTGGACCTAACTTAAAAAAATGTTAGGACACTTATAAATCTTTTTCTTTAGTTTTGTAGAGTTTTTTCACACGCATCTTTTGAGCCCTAATTGAAAATTTTTCGTCCATATTAACCGGAGATATTAAACTTTTAAAAATCAAAAATTTTGGAAAATAAGACTTTTTTAAAAATTTTGTTAAAAAATGTTGAAGTTTAGTTTTTTTTGTATTTAGTTTCGTAGAGTTTTTTCAGATGCATCTTTTGAGCCCTAATTGAACATTTTTTGTCCATATTAACCGGAGATATTAAACTTTTAAAAATCTAAAATTTTGAAAAATAAGACTTTTATAAAAATTTTTTTAAATTATGTACACGGAGAGAAAAATCTAGCTTTAATAGTATGACACTACCTATACTAATTTCGCATGACTATAGTCACGCTTCAAACGCATGAATTCATACCCAAAAACCATGGGTCCACGCTTCACCATGGTTTTTCGGTATGTTTTCATGCGTTTGAAGCGTGACTATAGTCCATGCGAAATTAGTATAGGTAGTGTCATACTATTAAAGCTAGATTTTTCTCTCCGTGTAAAAGTAACTTCAAAAAATTATTACCAACTTGAAGAGCATTAAAAAACGCTTCGATTGACCTATTTTTTAACCTGATTCGGGCAGAAATTATGAAATTATTGGTATTTGAAAAATCAAGAATAATTGTGGAAAATATCATTTTTTCAACATTCTTGTTTATTAACTTATGTGTAATTATTAAACTATTATTACCATCTTATAGAATATATAAAAACACATTTTTTGCACCAAGAATTAATGATTTTTAACCCTTTTATAAAAAGTAATTCTATAATATTTTAATTATTATTATTTCCATGAGGAAGCAAAGTGTTCATGAAATGAACACCAAAATTATAAAAATGTACAACTTGGCAGCGGTTTTTTATCTTTCTTTTTCTATTTTCATAGGTTTTTTGTTTGTATTTTTTATTTATTAATTAGGAATAGTAGAAAATTAGGCATAGTAATTCCTAATTTTCTTTTTTATCTAGTTTTTATTATTTGCGTATTTTTAATTTTTTCTTATTTGTCTTTTTCAATTTCTTTAGGTTTTTTGTTTGAATTTTTCTAATTTTTTTTAGTTTAATACTGTTTGTCTTTTTCCTATTCGTTTATTAGTTTATTTTTTAAATTTCATTAATTACAATAAAAATTGAATTTGAAAAGAATTATTTACGCAACTACATAATAGAATATTATACTTTACGTAAATATATTATTTTGTGATTTTGTTAATAACGAAAAAATTTGTCTTCTCTCTTGTTTTAAAGCTGGGTCCCGGTGATCGAGTATATTGAGTCGAAATACGAAGAATTCTTGAATGCGGAATCCAGAGTTGTGAGACGACAAATTCCAGACAGCCGCGTTCATTGCTGTCTTTATTTCGTCGCACCCTCCGGTCACGGTTTGAAACCCCTCGACGTTGAATTTATGCAACGTCTTCATGATAAAGTCAACATTATTCCCGTTATCGCCAAAGCCGATACAATGACGCCCGACGAGTGTATACACTTCAAAAAACAGGTAAAAAAGCTCATATTTCTATTTTATATTTAAAAATTAAAATTAAAATTAAAAAAAACACTTTTATTCTATAAAATAAGATTTAGAAAAGAGAATTTTGTTTCGAAAATTGTAAATTGGCTGAAAATATTTTGATGGTATGTAGTTTTCTTTTTTACCTACTGTAAAAAAAATGAAGAGAAGAATACCGTTTTGACTTTCTTAATAAAAAATTGTTTTTGCAGATATTAAATGAAATTGCGCAGCACAAAATAAAAATCTACGAATTTCCCGAAGTTGAGGAAGAGGAAGACAGTAAACTGCACAAAGTTTTAAGGGACAGAGTACCATTTGCCGTTGTTGGCGCAAATACAGTCGTTGAACATGAAAATGGCAAAAAAGTCAGAGGCAGAAAATATCCTTGGGGAGTTGCCGAAGGTATTTTGTTTTTTTCAACTTTGAATCTTCCACTTTCAAAAGTTATTTTGGAATTTTTAATAATCCAATTTTTCTTCAACCAAATTTTTAAAATTTGTTACGAATTTTGGATTGCGTTTGGTAACAATATTTTTCATTTTTTTGGTAAATTTCGATTTTTTCAAGATGGAAATATTTAATTTCGCTGAGTAGAATTTTTGATATTTTGGGTTTAGAGATAAACTTTTTTTATTGAGACTTATTGGCAACATTTTAAGAAAATTAAAAATAAAAAATTTCAATTTAAAACTATTTTTATTTTTATTCTTCAATTTAGAAATTTGTAATTTTAATTTATAATTATTTCTATTTTTCTATTTAGAAATTTTTAGTTTTAATTTAACATTATTCTTATTATTCTTTTTAAAATTCAAAATTTGTAATTTTAATGCAAAATTATTTTTATTATTATTCAATTTAAATCTTTTTAATTTATAATTTAAAGTTTTTTAATTCATATTTTTCAATTTAAAAATTTGTAATTTAAATTTTAAATTAAATTAAATCGAATTAAATAGAGTTATATTTTTAAAATCAGAAAACTAAGTTTTTTGATTTAGTTTTATTTTTTATTAAATACAGTTTTCATTAAATTCAGTCTGTGTAAAAATTCGTAAATTGATAAATTGAAAGTATAAAATTTTTAAAATTAAGAATTCGACTCTTTTCCTGTTTTTAGTTTAAAAAAAAAATCTAATATAAAATTTTTTTCACAGTGGAAAATCTCGAGCACTGCGATTTCATTGCTCTGAGAAATATGGTGATAAGGACACATCTCCAGGACCTAAAGGACGTGACGAATAATGTTCATTACGAGAACTTCCGGTGTCGCACGTTAGCCGGTCTTGGCGTTGATGGAAAACCAACCAAAGTTTCGAACAAGTAAGTTTTTTTTTCTTTCCAAACTCTCTTCTCTTCCGGTATTTTTTCCCAATTTTTTTTCTTCCAGTCTGTGTTTTGTAATTAAAAACTAAAAATTTTCATTTTCCCAAAAAAAAAATAAAAGAAATGAAATGAAATTCCACACACACTTTTGGTTTATCTCGAGATTTATTTCGTTCTCGATTTTGCGATAAGCTCCACTCTGAAAGAAAGAAAAAAAAGTCATTTTCTCCGAAAAGAATTTTTTATTTCTCAATAATCGCGAAAAGAAAGAGGGGAAAAAGCTTGTGCATGCAAACTGATCGAAAAACTATCGGATAATCCAAAAATTATTCAAAACATTTTTTTGAATAATTCTTCGGGGGATGTAGGAGGAAAAAAATTGTCAATATCAGTAAAATTCAAAGAAAAGATAGAAAATGTGTCTTTACTCTTTTTTATTTTTTTCAATTAAAAGAGAGAAAAATGAGAAAATTTGTTTTTATTTATTTAACGTTTTTTCATTTTAAATACAAATTTTTGAAATTTAATTTAATTACTTTAATATTCTGATTTTAATAAAACATTTTCATTAAAAGAGAAAACTTCAAATTAAAGAAATTTTCTGATTTTAATATTTTAATTTCAAAAAATTTGACTTGAAATAGAAAACTTCATTTCTGATTTTAATTATTTTAATATTTTAATTTCAAAAAATTTGAATAAAAATAGAAGACTTTCAATTTGAAAAACAATTTCATTAATAAATTATTTTTTATTTTAGTATTAATTTTATTAAATATTGTTTCCTTCATTTTATCAACTACTTTTGTTTTTAATTTAATTACTGTTTTTATTTTTATTAATTGAATAATTCATTAACAATTTTATTCTTAACTTTTTATTCTTTTAATTTTTTAAAAAATTTTTTATTCTTTCTTTACCTTTTTTAGTCTTAACTATTCTTAAAATATTGTTTTCTAATTTTTTACAGTAGTTTTCAATTTTTTATTAATTTTACTTTTTTTAAATTAATTTTTTATTAGAGTTTGTTAATTATTTGTTTTTAATTATTCATTGACATTCATTATTTATTATTCATTAACAATTGTATGAATTAAAAAATTTTTTTTCTAATTTTTCAAAATCGATTTCAATTTATTTTATATTGATTGAAAATTTGAAGTTAATTTTTTTTTTATTTAGAAAATATTTGTGTAATCGGGAAAAGGAAGTGTTTCTGTAGTTTTCTTTTTTTTCCTAATAAAAGTTTGTTAATGTTGATTTCTTATTGATCAGTTTGTGCAACCCTGGAGTGATGAACAGTTTCGTGATGGTTTGGTAAGTCCTTTTCTAAGGCTGAGCTCTTGTAATACAGTTTTGTGTGCACAAGTCTTCACTGTATAGATATTTATCTATTTTGTTCTGTTTGTTAATTTTTTTTTCTTCTTTTTTTAAATTTACTTTTCCTACAATTTGCAAAAAAAACTTATTTTCCTACAATTTGAAAAAAAATTTCTCTCCATCGTAGAATATTTAAAACGTTGAACTCATGATATTGAAATTGATTTTTCCAATAATTTCCAGTGACATATTTCGAGTTCATCGACGTTAATCAATTTTTAAACATTTTTATTTTCTTTAATATCCAGTAATTAAAATTTTATTAAGTTTTGTCTCGAGTTCGTTCTTCGATCGATTGGCCTTTTTTTATTTTTTAATATTAAATAGAAATTTTAAATTTAGACATTAATTTGAGAATTCGAGAAGTAATGAATTTCGAAGCAGGTTTAATTTTCTAATGGAAATTTAGTTATAAATTATTAAACTAAATTATTCAATTTAACTAAATTTAAAACTAAATTTATTCAATTAAATAATCAAACGAAATTGTTTTGAATTAAAAATCATAACTTAATGTAACACTCTAAAATATAAAAATAGTAACATACTTATAAATTAAGGTTGAAAAACTAATTTTTATTACTGAAAAATACATATTTGTTTGTAAATTATTTATAAATTCGAATTTGAAAAAAACTTTGTACAATTTTCCTTTTGACGAGGGCAAATTTAATTTTCCCTCCACTTTCACACACACAGACACACGAGTAGTTAGTTATAAACTGAAGTTATAATTTCTAATATACATATATAATATTGTTGATAAAGTTTAGTGGCAGTTTGCTTCATGGGAAATTGATATTTGTTCGTAGGAACCCGCTGGCGCAATTGGAGGAGGAGAAGCGCGAACACGATAACAAAATGAAGAAAATGGAAATTGAGATGGAACAAGTCTTCGAAATGAAAGTTCGCGAAAAGCGACAGAAACTCAAGGATTCCGAAGTGGATGTAAGTGTTCGAGTAGTTAACTTTTCAAAACAAACTTTTAATATTCTTCTTTTCTTTTATTTTATTTTATTCATTTAATCTAATTTAACGTTTCAGTGCTCACGCAAATTGTTTTACTTTATTTTTTCAACTTTTGGAAATTTTTAAAATAGATTCAGTTTCTTTAAAAATTTTTTTTCTTTTCAACTTTTTAAAAAAAACTTTTTAATAAATATAAAATAAGATTTCATTTTTATTTCAGTTTTTTTGTTTGTTATTTATTTGTGAAGAAATGTTTAATTTTGTTTTCAACTGTTTGCACCTGAAAAACAAAATTTTTTTTTTTTATTAACAATTTGTGAAGAAAATGTTTCAATTTATTTTCGACTTTTCAAAATTAAAAAATAGATTCATTTTTTTTATTATCGATTTTGCAAAAAAATGTTTCGACTTTCAAAATTAAAAATAGATTCAATTTTTTTTTGTTATGAAATTGTCAAAAAATGTTTTCTTTTATTTTTTATTATTTAAATTTGAAAAACAAATTTATTTTATCTTTCTTATTAACAATGTGAGAAGAAACTTTCATTTTATTTACAACTTTTTAAAATTAATTAATTGATTCATTTTATTTTCTTTATTGTCGATTTATTTTTTCTTTTTATTATTATTATTATTATTAAATTTAAAAAAATAGATTAAATTTTTGTTATCAGTTTGTCAACAAAATTTTTTCTTTAACTTTTAACTATTTAAAATTCCAAACTAAATTTATTTTCTCTTTTTTAATTAACATTTGTGAAAAAAATGTTTTATCTTATTTTCAATTTTTTAAAATTAAAAAATAGATTCATTTCCTTTTTTAGTTAACAATTTGCTTATTTTTTTTATTGATTTTAGTATTAATTTTGTTCTCAAATATTTAAAATTGAAATTTATTTTCTTTCGTTTAATCAACAATTTGTGAAAAACATGTTTCACTTTATTTTCAAATTTTCTAAATTAAAAAATAGATTCATTTTTATTTTTTTGTTAACAATTTTTTTTATTAGTTTTATTATTGTCAAGTATTTATAATTGAAAAATACTTCTTTTTTAATTAACTATTTACTATTTTCAACTATCCAAAAAGAAGAAATAAATTTATTTTTCTTTTTTAACTATTAAATAATTCATTTTACTATTAATAATTTTAAATATAATTTAATAATAATTTTTAATTTAATATAATATTTTACTGAATAAAGTTAAAAAAATAAAATATTGAATAATTTTCAATGAGAAAAATAATAATTCAATAATCTATATTTTTATTTTCGTATTTTTCAATATTAATTATTAAATAATCGAAACGATAATTTAATTTCTTTTCTTCGTTAGTTTTAAAAGGAAAACGAAGTAATTAAATTGAGAAACGAGTGATTAAAATGAACATATGAAGTTGAAAAGGAAGAAAAAGAAATTTACAATTTTTTGTACTTTTAGTTATAAGGTATTTATTATCTTTAGTTTTTGTTACAAAAAACTTCATTGTAATGATAAATAAAAAAAAAGATAAAATAAGAAACAAAAAGGAAATAGAAAAGGAATGAAAATGTTTATAATTTTCTGGGAAAATTTGCAGCTCCAACGAAGGCACGAGCAAATGAGAAGATCACTGGAACAACAGGTTCGTGAATTGGAGGAGAAACGAAGAACTTTTGAATCTGAAAAACAGTCCTGGGAACAGCAGACCGGCCATAGTATTGAAGAATTACGTAGACGAAGTTTAGAAGCAAATTCAAAAGAGTAAGTAATTCTTGACAATTTCAGAAGAAAAAAGAAAAAAAATTCTCATTCACCTTTTTTTTAAAACAGAATCTACCCTTTTTATTTTGGTTCTTTATTTTTTTACAAAAAAAAAATTCGCACATTTTTGATAGATCCACTCACTGTTCTTTAATTTCGTTGTGATTCTTTGGGTTATTTTTCACAATTTCTTTTTTTTTACTCCTGTACTATTCTTTGGTAATTCGGTACTTAGACAAAGACAAAAAAAACGGGGAGCATAAATTTTCTCTGAAAATTCATTAATTCGAATTTTTCGTAAATGGAATTTTTTTATCGAATTCTATTTTTTAATTGAATTTCTATTTTGCACTCAGAATTTTTATTTGTTACTCGGAATTTTTATTTTTTACTTGAATTTTAACTATTTCTTAAATAAATTTCTATTTTTAACACGAATTTCTATTTTTTACTTGAATTTGAACTTTTCTTTAAATTAAATTTCTATTTTTGACTTGAACTTTATAAATTTTTGTAATATTAAATAGAATAGAAATTAAGTTGAAATTTTTTTAAAATATTGTAGGAAATTTTTCATTCAATTAAATAATATAATATTAAATAATAGAAGTTTTATTTAAAAATTTTTCAGTTTAATAAAATTTCCAATTTGAATAATTTGTTCTAAAGGAAATTTTTATTTACTAGAACTTTCATTCAATAAAACTTCCAAATTGGAAAATTTTTGATTCACTAGAATTTTTATTCAATAAAATTTCAAATTAAGAAGATTTAATATAAATTGATTTTTTAATAAACGAGTAAATAAATAAATTTTATTAGAAGTTTCATTTGAAAGAATTTTCAATTAAAATTTCCATTTTAGAAAATTTGCATTCAACAGAACTTTCGTTCACTAAAGTTTTCATTCAATAAAAATTTAAAATTTTGAAGATTTTAATTTTAAAGAATTTCTACTTTAAAAATGTATTTTTAATGAATCAACTTGTTATTTATAAACTTTTGATTTATCCGATTTTTTCCTCAATAGACTTTTTATCTGATCAAAATTAATGTTTAACTAACTTTTCATTCAATTGAATTTTAATTTTCTTATTTTAACTGAAAAAAATAATTATAAAAATATAAAAATTTATTTATGCAAAAATTCGATTTTCGGAAAATAAAAATTCGAAAATATGGAAAATACAAATTAATCCTTTTTTAGAAAAATATTTATACTCACCCTTTGTGTAAACTGTTATTTCTTTCTTTTATCTATTTAGTTTTGGAAATGGAAATATTTCTATTTGGTTGAGTAGAAAGTGAAAAATTTGTTAATTTTTTTTAATGCCAAAAGTAGAATTAAAAAAAATGCTGTGATAAATAATTGAAAAATATTGTTAATTATTCTTTTGAGATGAAAAGAATTATTAATATTTTAATTTAATGAAGTTGTGATTAATTTCTTTTTTCTTTGGTAAATGTGAAAAAATGGAGTATCACTATTTATTTGATGACTCCTAATAATTCCTATTTCGTTGAGGAAGTTAATTAATCAAACTTCATTTATAATGAGCGGGAGTAATTGCTAAAGCTTGTAGATTTTATAATTAGAGGAAATTGCTAATGATTAATCAATTAACGATTAATGGGTTATAATATTTTTTTTATCAAGAAGAGATATTTGCAAAGAGCTTTTTACCGTGTTTTTTTGTTTTCACTCTTTTTTATTCTCAAAATCCACTTTGTTTCCGTTTATTCTTTTTATTTTTTACTTCCTTTTTCATCTTTTTTTTGTTTTTAAACTTTTCGTTTCATGCCTATTTTTTTGTTTATTGTATTCTTTTTCTGTTAAATTTTTTATCTAATTTTCTTTTTATTCTGTATTCTATTTGGATTTATTAATTTTCCATTTTCATTAATTTTCTATTTATTGTTTTTCTAATTTTAATTTTAATATTTTTTACTTCTTAAGGGCATTTGAACCATGATGACGTCACAGATTTAAAACTAATGCTTTGCACAAACTGTGACGTCATCAAGGTTCAAATCCCCTTAACTTTATATTTGTTATATTTTTTTTCTTATTAATTTTTTACTTATTAACATTTCATTAATTATTTTTGTACTTATTAGTTATTAATTTTTTGTTTCTAATGTTTCTAATTTTTTAACTTATTCACTTTTTAACTTATTAATTTTTTATTTATTTATTTTTTTTATTATTTGTCGTTGTCTTAACTTTTAAATCTAATTACACTATTTTTTAAAAATATTTTTGTTTAATTTTTTCCGTCTTCTGAACCTATTTCCTTTACATTAACAAAGAGAGATGAATCACTAAGATCTTAAATTCGGTTCTCTAGGAATTTTAATTAAATTAATGTTAAATTTAATAATTTTATATTAAGCAAAAGATGGTTTTTAGTAAACTAAATCTTTGTTTGGTGATAATAATTTGAAAACTTTGAAAAAATAAAAATATTAGTTTCGTGAGTTAAAAGAAGTTACTTTTCTCCCTAGGGTTGCAATCTATTTGATAATTTGCAAAAATGATAAGTAATAAATTAATATAGAATTATTTACAATTGAAATTTTTATTGAAATTATGAAAAATAGATTAATTTTATTTACCACCCGGTATATATAATTTTTATTTTTCATAGTTTTGTCAGAATTTTGAAAAATTATTAGATTTTATTTCCGGTTTTATTGACCACTTGGTATGTATAATTGTTATTGCTAATAGTTTTGTCAATACTGTGACAAATTATTCAATTTTATTTATGTTTTACGACCACCCGGTATATATAATTTTTATTTTTGAAAGTATTGTCGAAACTTTGTTCGAAACTCTTTCAATAATAATTGAGGCCTCGGATCGAAGAACTCGACAAAGGGTTCATAGCAGTGAGTAGCAGTGAGCGCCTCTGGGACCCACACTGCTACCTGACTGGTATTATCCCTTGCAACCGCGCAGCGGTCGAGTTCTTCGATGCGAGGCCTCAATTATTATTGAAACTAAAATATGATTCAATTTTATTTTTCCGAATTTAATGATCACCCGGTATATAATTTTTATTTTCGAAATTCAGACAAACCTGTGAAAAATTATTAAATTTTATTTGTTTAATGCGCACCCGGTATACATAATTAATTTTTATTTTAGGAATTATTATCGAAATTGAAAAATTATTAAGATTTATTTTCCGATTTTAACCCTTCTACGGTATTAACATTTTATTTATATTAGCAGCGCCAAAAAAGAAGTGGCTACTATCACAAAAAAGACTTCGGGACATCATATTAAAATACGATGATTACCACAGAAATGGAGAAGATTTAGATTATTTACGGAAATTGTCCTATTATATCACCCTTTAATTTATTTATATGTTTTTTATTTTATATATTTATTTTATGTATTTTTTACACAATATTTCTTATATTCAACTCTTATACAATTACAAAATATTTTTTATTTTTCGGGTTTATAGACCTTCGGGAATTTGGATTTTCGGGAAATTAGACTTTCGGGACAGCGGTATTCGGGAATTTGACCGGCGACGAAAAGTTATAGATCTCACCAAAATACACATTTATTGTTCTCATCATTATTTGCTAAAATCTATTATTTTCCGAGAAAAATGTAAAAAACCATAAAATACCATAAAAACGGGTTAAAATATATACTTTCGCTCAAAAGAACATCCAGTGTCAACAACAAAATACAGTTTATTTACGTATTTTGATACTCTGATCACGAAAATCATACTAAAAATTGGTGCAAATTTAATATTTCTGGTAAAAACCAAAAAAAAAAAACACATAAAATAACCATAAAATAGTGGTTTTTTGAGTAAAAATCATAAAAAACGCAAAATTTTGAAAAAAAAATTCTAACAAAAGTTATAGATCTCACTAAAATACACATTTTATAATCTCATAATTATATTCTAAAATCTATTATTTTCCGAGAAAAATGTAAAAAAAACCATAAAATACCATAAAAACGGGAAATCTAAGACTTCGCCCGCCACAGCTCATGTAGTCTCGTTCTGTGCATATAGAAAGGGAGTCAAATTTACTTTCAAGTTAGTACTAGAAGGTATACTACCCAGACTCGACATTTTATGAGAACATAAAATGTGTATTTTGGTGAGATCTATAACTTTTGTTTAAAAAGTTTTTCAAAATTTTTCGTTTTGTACGAATTATACGCAAAAAACCACAATTTTATGGTTTTTTGTATGGTTTTCACCATGAAGATCAAATTTGCGTCAATTTTCATTATCATTTTCGTAATCAGCGCATCAAAATACGTTGGTATACAAATTTTTATTGAAATCGAAGGACCCCCTTATTCGGAAGTACACCCAAGGTCCCAATTATAGAACGCTTTTTAAGCTAACTAAATTTCTATGATAAATTTGTTGGAATTAGGAGTGTTAATATGAATAATTTTGGTATAGATAGAAAGGTTGGTATTTTGTGAACAGTATTTAGGTCCTAAAATGTTTATTTTTCATGAAATAAAAATAATATTAATTAAATTGTGAAACCCTGCACTAGTACCGATTATGAAACGATGATTTCCTGTATGTACGGGTGTTTCAAAATGAATGTCCTGATTATGAAACACCTACACTACCGTCGGGAATTATCGGTACGGCTGCACGCGCACGGCCCAAAAACATACCAATCTATAAATCACGATTTTTTTGTAAATACAAAAGTCAGAAAATTAACAAATATACCATTCGAAATATTATTAAATTCTACTATATTAATGATACATAACTGAAAATTTTAATAATTTATACAAAGATTGCAACAATCGACAAATTTGACAAAAAAAATTAAAAAATAAATTTTTTTTGGAAATTTTTTCAACCCCCGCACATCTTTTAAAAAGTGTAGAAAAAATGTGAAACTTACAAGAGTGTGATAACTCAACTCTTATCTTTAATTTAAGACCAAAAGAGTTTAAAAATCTTATTCCTTTCGTGAGATATCATTATAAACGTTCGAGCATGTTTTTTGACAAATGCATTGAATTAGTCGATTTTGAACGATTTTAGGCTGAAAATACTCGGCCGTTTATAATGATATTTCGCTAACCGATTGAGATTTTTGAACTCTCTTGGTCTTAAATTAAAGATTAAACTTAAATGATCACTCTTATGTAAGTTTTAAAATTTTTCTACAATTTTTAAAAAATGTGCAGGGGTTGAAAAAATTTCCAAAAAAATTTTATTTTTTAAATTTTTTTGTCAAATTTGTCGATTGACTGCAATCTTTGTATAAATTATTAAAATTTTCAGTTATGTATCATTAATCGTAGAATTTAATAATCTTTCGAATGGTATATTTGTTAATTTTCTGACATTTGTATTTACAAAAAAATCGTGATTTATAGATTGGTATGTTTTTGGGCCGTGCGCGTGCAGCCGTACCGATAATTCCCGACGGCAGTGTATTTTATTCAGTTAGTAATTAAAATTATATTGACTTATCCCAATAATTTGAATATTAACTATAAAGAATTAAATACAAAGAATAAATTCTAGTTAAATAGATTATTATATAATCAATTTTTTTTGGTAGAAAAGTAATGCGAAAATACTGAAAATATTTGAGGTTGTTTGCTGTATATTTTCTGTTTGTTCCATCAATCGGGACATGGAAATAATAAGTGTACCTAATGTGAAACGGTAGTTTGATGGGAAACCTGGCTAACCTTAATTTAAAAGCTAAAATGCAATTAAACATTTCTTTTTAAATTTAATACTATACAGAAATAATAATTCTTATATCGTGTAAAATTTATTGAAATAACTAGAATTTTCTTATCACCAATTTTAATTGCATTTATTTTAATTTTTGTAATACTGTTCCATAATAGGAACGAAATTATGAAAGCGTTTTATAACTGGGACCTTTACCCTATTGGAAAAATTACGAAAAAAAATTGTCTGTACAGGGTGGGCATTAAAATCTGTTAATACAATTTAATATTTTTTACACAATTTTGACAAAAATTATTTCAAAAATTAAAATTGTATATACAGGGTGTTCATTAAAATCGAGAAATAAAGTCTAATATTGTTTCACAATTTTGAAAAAAATTACTATGTAGAAGAAAAATTTTGTTGTGGCCATTTAAACTTAGAAATAAAATTCTATAATTTTTCACAGTTCAATATTTATTACACAATTTTGACAAAAAAATCTTATATGTGGTCATTAAAATCAATAAAATTTAATAATTTTTCACAGCTTGGATAAAAATTAAGAATAAAGTAAAAAATCAATTTTAATCTCTAGGGAAGAACAAAACTTCTTTAACTTTACATATAAAAATTTTAGACAATGCACAAAAGTTATTTTTTACTCTAGGGAGTAATATAATTTTTTTAAGTCTAGAGACTTAGAGAGTGATAATAATGTACTCTCTAAATTTAAATTAGTTACTGAGTTTTTGCTTTTAAATTAGTAAATTTAACCAATAATAGTATATTAAGCAACAAGGTACTTACGATATTTTTTATTCCAAAGGCACAAAAGTGTCGATTTCAGATACCAGACGACAGGGAGTAAAAGTCATTCATTTGTTCGACTTGTATGAAAATGGCGGCCTTTTTTTCCATGGGCAAAAATAACGCATGAGACCAGCTGTTTTTTTGCCCATGGGAAAAAAAGGTCGCCATTTTCATTCAAGTGAACAAATGAATGCCTGAGGTATGGAAATTAGTATTTATTTTGTTATTATAAATTACTATTTATTAGTAAAATTTACTAATTCAAAAGCAAAAACTCAGTAACTAATTCAAATTAAATTCTTACAGGGCCGAATATACAATATCTTAGTGGACCCCTTTCTATAACTTTTTTCGCATTTTTCTATTTCGCTATGTTGTTATTTTTTTATTCTATTTTTGTTTTTATTTTCTGTCTTTTTATATTTTTTTTAACAAAAATAACCGAAAATTTGTATAAAAAAATCTTTTTAAATTGAAAAAATTCATTTTAAACTTTGTTTACGGTCTTGTTTTGTTTTCATTTGCGTTTAACTTACCTTTTACTTTATTTTTCCCCTGCTCTCTATTAAAATGTTTTTTTTCTTTACCTCCCCCTTCAAAAAACAAAATCTATATTTTATATTTTGCGTAAAAGAAAACTGTACGTGGACGTACAAATGTCAGGTGAAAGAAAAATATTTATAAATACGGAAATTTGACATGTTCCTGGGGTTCGTTTGTTCTTCCCTCGTTTTTTTCGTACCGTTTGTTTTCATATATATGGCTTTATACTAAAAATTTTAAACAATATTTCAAACGCGAGCTTTTAATAATTTTTTTTAACTTTCTTTTATTTGCACATATACACACATACTAACGAAATGTCAGAACGACTTCCTGACATTTCACGTCTGCCTGCAGCTTGTTTTGCAAAATAAAATAAATTAATAATAACTGTGCGCTAGAGCTGTGCAAAATTCGAACCGAACCGAGTTTTGTTCGGTTTTGGGGCGCCGAAATGTCGAATATTCGACATCCGAACTGGGCTAGTTCGAATGTCGGTTTTTCGACATTCGAACTAGGCGAAAAAATTCGAACAGTTCGGTTCGAATTATTTTGCACAGCTCTACTGTGCGCGCTTTTTGCCCACAAAATAAAATTCAATTTTTACGAAAACAAAATTTTTTTTAGAACTTAAAACTTAGACGTTATAATATCAGTTTTTTCATGTTTCATAGTTGGAAGAGAAATTTTTTGTTTCATTAATGTTGTAGATTAAAGAAACATTTTAAAAAAAATTTTTAATTTTTTAATTTACAAAGTACAAAGAATTTCAGACAAAAGTAATTTGCTTTTGGTTGTTTAATTTGTTTCTGATGCGGTGAATATTTAGAAAAAATTAATTTTTTTAATTAGGAAAATTTAAATTTTTATCCGCAATTGTGGAAAAATTCTTTTTTAACTGCAAGTAGTCGGAGAAAATTAATTTTTATCTAACCGTAGTAAAAAAATTAATTTTCATCTGAAGGAAATTTGTTTCGCTTTTATACTATTTGGCAAAAAAAAATTTGTTGTATGTTGGTTTTATTAAGTATGAAATTGTTTGTCGTTTTTGCCTTTTTGATATTTGGAATTTATTTATTTTTTTTTTTTAATTTTCGTTTTGAATATTTTGATAATTTTGTTACGAAATTGAAATGTTTTTAAGACACTGATATTATGTCGTCTTTCAATGGATTGCAACAGAGCTGGGCACTGCCGAGGTTTTTTTCTCGTAAGTATCCCTCTCGACTTTGTACCAACAAATCAAATTTTTTTTGGGAATTTGGAGTCAAAAATTAAAATATTAATTTATAATAATTAAAAATATAATTTTTTATTAAGTATTCTTTGTCAAATTTTTAAAACTTTTAAGATATTTTTTTAAAAAAATTTTTAATTCAAAATCTTACTTTTAAAAAAATATTTATTTCAAATTTTAATTTTTAAGTTTAAAATATTAAAAATAGGTTTTTAAACATTAAAACATTAAAAATATTATTATAAAGTTTAAAACATTTTAAATATTATTTTCCAGAAATGTTCAATATAATTTCAAAGTATCTTTTTTAAAATTTAATTTTAAACTTTAAAGCATTATATTTTTAAAAATATTAATATTTTAAAACTATTAAAAATATTATTTAAAAAAAATATCAAAAATATTTTTACAATTTTAAAGCTTTAATAATATTATTAATTATTAACTTCATCATTAAAAAAGTATAAAATTATATTATTCATTTTTTTAATCATTAAGCCAAGGATAATTTTATAAATAAAGGAAAAGTAAAATATAAAAAAAATTTTTAATTAAAAAAAATATCAAATACACTTTTAAAAAAAAATGTTCCTGATTCTCAAAAAAAGAAATTTGTCGGTACTTACGTTACTTGAAGAAAAAACATCTTTTCAATAAGTAGAGAGCATCGTGTTTTTTTTCTCTTTTGAACATTTTTTCCTATTTTTTCTCCTTCTTTGGAATGGATGTCCAGCTCTGGCTCATGAAAAAAAAATCATGCGAGTGCTTGCTGCTTGGCTGCGCTTGTTTTATTGTTTGTTTGTTTGTGTGTAAACAAAAAAAATGGGGGTCTCCCTGATTTAGGACCGGATCCATGTCGTCCGAGGGATCTGGAGGTGGCGGGGGTACAATGCGCGGTTCAAGAGGAGGTTTTGGAAGTCTTCTCCGTCGTCACACCAGTTTCAAATCACCTCAAGAGAGTCCCACACACACACTACAGCTTCTCGTACAGCAATCTCGTACAGAATCCTAGAACATCACAAAAATCATTCTCATTACTATTGTTATTATTATTATCAATTATAATAATAATAATAATCAAAAAATTCTACAGGACTCTTAAAAAAAAAAAAATTTGCTCACAAAATCTCTTTTTTATTTTTTTACAAACAAGGCACAATTCTTGCTTTCCAATATTTCAATTTCAAAACTAAAAAGTAAATTTAAATTATTTTTTTGAAAATTGACAAAATTTGTTGACGTAGTGTTTAAATAAACATTAGAAAATTGTTTCCGGAAAAAAACTATAAAAAAAATTATCAAATAGAAAATGATCAACAACTTGAGATAAACATCAACAAATTGAGGAAAAATTATCAACAATTTGAAAAAAAATTATCAACAAATTGAGAAAAAATATCAACAAATTGAGAAAAAAATTATCAACAAATTGAGAAAAAATATTAACAAACTGAGAAAAAATATCAACAATTTGAAAAAAATTATAACCAATTTGACAAAAATTATAAACAATTTAGAGAAAAAAAATTATCAACAATTTTGAAACGAAAAACTATGAAAAACTTAGCATAATTTATCAGCAATTTGACAAAAAAAAATTTGGAAAAATAAATTATTGTTGAAATAAATAAATATAAAAAAAGTACGAGTAGTAAAATAATTAAACAAATTAACAACAATTAAATGTCAAAAAAATACATAAATTTTTTATACGAAGAAGAACCCTGTAAGAATTGCAAAATTACTTTTTTTCTGTAATATTATTAATTTAAAAGAAACAAATTTCAACTAATCAGTATTTTTGGCACAATTTTCATATTCTTTTTTTTTCGAATAAATGATATAAAAAATAAATACCTCTGTTTTTTTTCGTAATTTTGCACTTTTTTTTTAGCAATTTGCGAATTAATAATTGTAATATCGAAAACAAAGTAGTGCTAACATTGAAATAACAATTATTTGGTCATTTTTTTAAATAACAACAATTATAACACAATAATATTGTAACCACTGAACAAGCTGTTGAATTTTGAGAAGAAATAACTTTTTTTTCCTCAAAAAAAAAAAAAAAAAAGAAAATTTAGAAGTGTAATTTTTTTTTTGAATCTTGAAAAACAGCTTGTCAGTGGAAAATTTATCGTTATTAGTCAGCTACTTAACATTTAATATTATTAATAATATAAATAGTTACAAAAAAAATGTTAATTTCATTATTAAAAATTTTTTGCGCAAATAAAATTTAATGCTTTCTTACAAAAATTTTTTTTTTTACTAACCATCATTATTTTTTCGAAAATCAGTGAATTTTCCAGAAAGGAGCCGAAATTTATTATCATTTGTTATTGTTCATTTTGTCGAGAGAAAATTAACGAAAAATTAGTATTTATTTGGTTGTTAGTAGGGGAGAGTAGGCTATATTGAACCAGGTTTTTTATAAAGTACAAGAACTACATAGTCTGTTTCGGTAATACTAACTTATATATTGAATAAGAAAAAATTTCACTCAGTCATTTCTCAGAAAATTGAAGTGGTTCACTGTTGACGCTGGTTCAATGTAGCCTACTCTCCCCTAAATTTATTCTACTGATAACTATTTTACTAAAGTAATTATTAAAAATTACTTTACTACTTTTACTAGTAAATACTAAATTTCATAAATTTTAGTAAATACTAATTTAGTAAATTTTGCAATATCTAATTAGTAATTTTTTCAATTTACAATTATCTATTAGTAAACTTGATAATTAGCCATTTGCAATTTAAAAAAAATAATTTACATAGAAAAATAAAAATTTTATTTAACTTTTTTAAATACAAAATTTTTTTTTCGTTTTCTTAATAAATAACGGCAAAAAGTTGAAAGTTTTTTATTAATTAGTAATTAATAAATTAGCAAATTAGTAAACAAAATTACATCTTATTTTATTATTCAAATAAAAATTAGTAACATTCGTTCAATGTTAGCCGAAAAATAAATAATATTTTTATCAACTCTTATTAACATTTATCAATTACTGAACATTAGTAAAGTTTAATAAATTTGCTAATTTACTAATTACATTACAAGTTCTAAAATTATTATTTTAAGTAGTAAATCAATTACTAATTATTTAGTGAATAATTTATTCAATTTAGGATTTAGTTTTTATTTAGTCAATTTACTAATTTAGCAAATTTACTTAATTATAGTAATTACTAAATTTGGTGAATTTACTAAGGTTGTAAATTTTCTTGTTTATTCAATGCACTAAATTTAGTGAATTTACTAAATTTAGTAAATTTACATAGTATTTAATAAATTTACACTACCGTCCACGAGTATCAGGACGATTACATTCGACTCTATGAAAAAAGATGCCATTACTTTTTCAACCATATCTCGGAAATTAAAGGAGATACAAAAAAAACTTAAATACGGTTAGAAAGCTGATTAAATTCTGCGTAAAATAAGCCGTCTTTGAAGTAATTTCGTTAATTATTTTGTAAGTTGTAGAGTGAGAAAGAAATAAAAAAAATTATCAAATTTTCTCATTTTTGTCTCTTGACTTCAACTTTTTCAAAAATCTAAAAAATGTAGATAAAATTTTTCTAGAAAAACAGAAGTCTTCGTTAGAATTTCAGCTTTAAAATAAGCCTTCAAAAATTAAAAAAAGGTTAATCCGTCTTCGATGTATCATTAAAAATGTGAAGCCGTGTTTCGACCGATTGGTGCATTGAAATTCACCTGTGACGACTCGATTCTAGCTTCGCGCGGCAGCGAATGAGAGAGAAAACAGGAACGAATTCATGCGGGGGAACGATAAACTTTTGATTTTCTTTATATTACTCGTGAAACATCATTATTTATTATTCCCCAGCATGAATTCGTCCCTGTTTTCTCTCATTCGCTGCCGCGCGAAGCCAGAATCGAGTCGTCACAGGTGAATTTCAATGCACCAATCGGTCGAAACACGGCTTTACATTTTTAATGATATATCGAAGACAGATTAACCGTTTTTAATTTTCGAAGGCTTATTTTAAAGCTGAAATTCTAACGAAGACTTCTGTTTTTCTAGAAAAATTTTATCTATATTTTTTTTAGATTTTTGAAAAAGTTGAAGTCAAGAGACAAAAATGAGAAAATTTGATAATTTTTTTTATTTCTTTCTCACTCTACAACTTACAAAATAATTAACGAAATTACTTCAAAGACGGCTTATTTTACGCAGAATTTAATCAGCTTTCTAACCGTATTTAAGTTTTTTTTTGTATCTCCTTTAATTTCCGAGATATGGTTGAAAAAGTAATAGCATGTTTTTTCATAGAGTCGAATGTAATCGTCCTGATACTCGTGGACGGTAGTGTACAAATTTTGTGAATTTACTTGTTCAGTGAACTTACTTAATTACTGATTTTACTTATTTAGTAAAGTTACATATTTAGTGAATTTACTAATTTAGTTAATTCACTAAATTTATTAAGGGGTTACACCACTTTGAAATTTTCAAAAAATTGAAAAAAATTTTTTTTGCTTAAAATACTCCTTATGATCACCAAAATGATATGTCATTAGTTATATGGGTGATTCTCCGCGTAGCGCACGATTTGGTTTATGAAATTTAAAAAAAAACTTTTTATCGTTATGATTATTGTCAATATATTTTTTTGAAAATAAAGGCTTTAGAAAGAAAAATCTATAGCGGGCCGGAAAAATTATTTATAATTTTTGTTGTAAACAAGTGTAGTAATTAACTAATTCACTGTTTGAACACATTCTGTCAAAAAAAAATTTTGCGGTAATTTAAACAATATTATAGCGTAAATCTCATTTAAAAATTATTATTTTGGTAATTTATGGAAATTTATAGAAATGTTTGGAAATTTTCGCGATAATTTATAAAAATATGTAAAATTTAAATTACACTGCAAAAAATGGCGTCTCAAAATAAGACGTTTAGACGTTTATAAACGTCTTATGTAAATAAGCGTCTTATTTGAGCGACTTAAATGAAAAACATAACCTCCAAATACATGCATTTTAGAAGGCAAATAAGACGCTTATAAACGTCTTAGAAGTGACCACGTAAACGTCTTAAACCAAGACGCTCTTTTTTTACAGTGTATTATTAAAAATTTGGATTTTGGTAATTTATGGAAATTTTCGCGGTAATTTATGGAAATTTATAAAGTAATTTATGGCAATTTGTAAGGTAATTTAAAGAAATTTTGTCGGTAATTTTTAAAAATATGCAAAGTAGAAATCACAATTGAAAATTTTTATTTCGGTAATTTATGGAAATTTTTGCGGTCATTTATAAAAATTTTCGTGGTAATTTATTGAAATTTATTTAAGTAATTTATGGTAAACTTTCCTGAGCTATAGGTTTTTTTTATTCCTTATATATGTGGCACCATAACGCTACATTTACACTACCCAGTAAAAAAAAACTAATTCAAATGAATTGAAACGAATTAACATTTTTGGTAGGCTCCAATTCGTATTTGTCACAAAGCGGGATTCACTCAAGCTCTTTGTATATTCAATTGAATTTAATTCAATATGTACCAATTTGTCCAAACGAATTCGCATTCGAAAGAAATGGCCAAGGAATGCATTGAATTCGTGCTAACGAATTGAAAAAAATTAAAGGCTCAAAACTTGTCCAGTGAATTGGTACGGATAGAAGGTTCGGAAGTTCAATACAGTTTCACGAATTCAGGAAAATTGCATCATGGCTCCAATTCGTATTTGTCACAAAGCGGGATTCACGAAAGCTCTTTGTGAATTCTTTTTAATTCATTTCAATTAGTTTTCGTTTACTGGGTAGGTTCTTCGTAATACGAAGGTCGGTGGAAATTCTGAGGTCGGTGGAAACTGAGGCCGGTGGGAACTTTTTCAACCGACTTTAGATATTTTAATTTTTTGAAAAAAGTATCATTAATTTTCGATCGGTTTAAAGTGGATCTCATTCGTATTGACCAAAACAATATAACTACGCTTTATTTAACCTTTTTTATAAATAATTGTTTAATTTGTGGTAAAATATTTAAGGGTCGGTGGAGATTATTTTGTGATTCCCTTATCAAATTTCCAACTGAAAATGAGTGAAAAATGAATAAATCAATTAGAACATTGATTCTTTTTCCTGAATTAACTTAAGGAAGTTATTTTTTGTGTTTACAAAAGTAATTTTAAGTTAACATTTGATTTTCATTTAAATAATTCACTGTTTGTTAATAAAATAATGAATAGCATCCAAATTTGCTGTCAAGCATAAACTGAAAAAAACATATATAAAATTAATTCTTTTTTTAAAATTTTTTTTATTCAACTGTACTAAAGTAGACAATACTAAAATGTCAATAGTAATTGTATTTATTATTGCATATTACTAAAATTATTAACTTTTTTTTCTAAACTTCCTGTGGGGACAGGTAAAAATTGGACGTTTTCAGCCTTAAAACCGCTTATTTATGAAAAATTATAATCTTAGATACAAAAGTAATTATTGGTTTTTGTTTCTAAACATATAGATAACCTTTTTACGTTGGAATTGTAAAAATATATGAAAATTATTTATTATTTTTCCATTATAACATGAAAAAAACCAAGTTCTGCGCTACGCGGAGAATCACCCATATATCGATATCTCAAGTAAAAAGACAATTTTCGAACTGTTCAAGCAGGGTCGCGCGCCAACGTTTACATTGTAATGAAAACTTTTAACCCGTTTTTCTCAAAACTGTATTTTAAAAATCGGTGGACAATCTGGATGCCACAAATTTCAATCGATCCTCTTAGATCTTTTTTTATTTTGTTTGTGATATAATTATCTAGCGAAATACGTACGGATTTTTCGAAATATTAATATTTA